AAAAAAAAAAAAAAAAAAAAAAAAAAAAAAAAGAGATAAATAAAGTTTTTCATTTTTGCATAAACTCACCCTCACCCTTAAAAAAACGTTAAATACAAATTTTTTTCTTTCAGTATAATTTTCGATCAGTCGAAAAATCGTTAGTTAACCTTACCAAGTTTCTACTGTATAACTGATTCGAATGTTAGTCGTAGACGTGGTGTCCCGCTTAACGCGCCCCTCACAGGTCGACGAAATTTTTAGGGCGTCATGACAGTCATCTTCAGTACAAATTGTGAAGTCATCAATTCCACCACTTGCTTTCTTAAAGTTGTAAATTACATTTCTAGTCATTCAAAATTCCGAAACTTCGTGAAACAGAAATTTTTATGCTTTTGAGAACGAAAATGCAAGATACAGAGAAGAAAACAAGGAGGTACATTTCCAAATTCAAATTCCAAGAAAACCTCACTATAATTGCACTGCGTAAATCATTCTCGGCTTTTTCAACGTAGTCACAACCCTCAGACAATTCAATTAAACCTTAAGAACCCAATGTTTACTGCATTCAAATATTATTTCTTATTTTACATTTCTAGGATGTATTAGAAATTTACCGTATGTAATTTGTTGTGGAGCTTTATACGCCGAACAGCTGGGAAAATGATAGTAAGGGCCATATGAAGAACGTGTCCATCGTCCCTATGAAGTAAATGTACCGTCAATTAGTATGCATTTCAAGAACCTTTTGTAAATTATCTCAAGAAAAATGACGATGAAATTTGTTAACGAGGACTATCCAGACATTGAAGATTTTCAAAATTCATAACATTTAAGGAAACTCGCCATAACATCGCATGTGAAGAATTCAGGTACGTCTTCTGTAAACAAGTGAGATTCGGCGCAATTGAGAAAGGCAATAAGGCTTGCGCTCCTTTTTTCTGCTTCGACTTCAATTATTGTTGCGTTTCCATTATACGGGTCACCAGGATTCACACAACTTCTAGGTGAGACAGTGACCTCAAACTGGCATAGTCCAATATTTCCTGCATCATCTCGAGCGACGTATAGAATTTGATAATTACCCCTATAATGAAGAATATCGAATGCAAACAAAAACTGCGTCACAGTATTTATGTATTTTATTGCTTAATTCTTGGATACCAAGCAAAAACTTCTCCACTGCGATAGTTACTACTACAGTCAGCAACTCTATGATTGTCATCAAAAATGTCGTCACAGTTGTTTGGCTCCCAAGTCACTACGGTTAGTCGTTCTT